GGGGGGGGGGGGGGGGGGGGCTTTCATGTCACCCAGCAGGGCTGTGCGTGAGCTCTTAAAATACACACCAGAAAACAGACGCTGTGCATTCCTAAATTTGTGTAGCCACTTCCTTCAAAATGTAAGTAAAAGCATTGTTTGTTTTTTAAGGAAACAATGCTTTTTAAAGGGCAAGAGAACTTGTTTTACTGTACTGCTGACGTTTTGATTTACTGTTGTGTCAATTTGTATGTGGAAGTTGTTTTTACTGCTGAATGTTTTAAACTGATACAATGTTTGTTTCTAGTGATAGCTAGCTTGGATGCCTGATGTTTGGTAGAAGAGCAGCATCTAAATGTTTAATAAATAAAGCTTTTACTAGACAAGCACTTCAGGTTCCAGGTGGTCAGGAGCAGTGGGTGGAAAGGAGCAAAGCTGCATTATCACTTTCTGTTCTTGCCCATAAAATACCCTCACTGAGACAACGTGTTCATTAATACTCTTATAGCCCACAATCACCAACTTCTGCTAAATATTATTGTGCCGTGATGTAAGTCTTAAATTACCTGCACTAGCTGAAATCCATTCTTCTGGATTTCATTCTTTTGGAGAGGCAGTGTGGTGCAGTGGGTAAGAGCATGGGACTGGGACTCGGACGGTCTGGGTTCAAGTCCCCGCTCAGCCCTGGAGCCCCCTGGGTGACGTTGAGCCAGTCACAGACTCTCGGCCCGAGCTACCACACAGGGTTGATGCTGAGAGGAGGAGGCAGAGGAGGAGGAGAAGGATGTAAAGTGCTTTGAATTCACTGGCGGGGGGGGGGGAGCGGGGTATAAACCTAAGAATAAATAAATCTTATGCTGATTCTCACCACTTGCGGTAACTTTCAGTCAATCAGGAGCCTTTCATGGGGAGATTCAGCCTTGCCCAAGGCCGCTTTGTGTCTGGGATCCAAAAATACCCCAGGAAGATCATTTCTTGAAAAATCTGTAGCTGTGGCTTAGTTCTGCAGCTGGAAAGGAGCATTCGGGTTACACAGACACTGCAAGGGACGGCTGCAGTGCCCCTGCCCATAATGGGACAGCGCTGTTAATCTTGCTTGCAAAATGGAAAGCTGAAGAATGACGCATCTCCTCACTACATAATAAAGACCGAGGCCTTTCAGAACAGTCTTTTGGGTCTGCGTGTCAGTGCTGGGCTAGAAGGGAGTCCTGGGCTAAGCCCAGTCACCCACAGTCTTCATCTCATTCCAGGCAACTCAAGTCACATGAAATGTGGCGTTGGATAAGAACAGAAGAGAAGCTCTCCTGATCAGAGCAGTGGTCCAACCAGCTGCCTGCAGGAACAGGATGCGGGCAAGAGCATCACCTCCCCAAACCGCACAGCGGCTGGTGCCTGCAGGCGTGCTGGCCTGCAAGGGTGGCAGCCAGTCTCCGTCAGTCTGCCCACTCCCTCTCCAGAGCTGTTCCGACCCGTGGCCATCACAGCTGCCTGCAGTAGTGGAGCCCATGGCTGCCCTGAGTCACAAAACACCCAGAGCATCCGCGGGTGGGGGCGCCTGGGAGGATTCTCCTGAAGTGTTTCAGCTGAGGGAAGTGCCCCGAAGTGGCGCAGACAGTGATGGCAGTGGCACCATCATCCTTTTCCATGGCGGAACAGAGCGACTTTCCAGCCACACAGCGGCATTGCGGTGGCCCTGAAGCTTTGCTGCCCTGAAGAGCTCTGCCCAGTTGGCCCCGCAGGGGCCGTGAGCCCTCGGTCCCACAGGCAAGTGATGGGAGGAAGCAGCTGCCACTCCCGTTGCCCCCGGAACGCCAGAAGAGGCTCCTCCCGCCGCTGGGGCATGCCTCCGGTCTGGAGAAGGGCATTCCCTCATCCCACAAGTCGAGGTGCAGGAGCCCTCCGCGCGGGGAAAGCCGCCCTTCCCCAGCAGCCAGTGGAGGCCTGGTCTGCATCTGTCTGACAGGCAGCAGGGCAGCGTTGCTGTTCTGCCATTTCCCTCCCCAGCCAGGGCTCGCCCTTGGCACTTCCCTCTGTTACCGGCCCGGGGAGCAGAGTGCCTCCGCCCGGGCACCCCCGAGGCAGGCGCTGGACAGCAAAGCAGCCACCAGTGTGGCTGGGCTGTGGGGCAGGTTGCGGCTGCAGCGTTGCTCTGGACTTCCACGTGGGGCCAGCACCTCTGAGGCCTGATCCGGAATTGAGGCCTGCCCCTTGATGCAGTTCATGCTCTGTAACATGTCAAGGGGCAGAAGCTGAGGCCCAGCCCCGCAACTGGGTGGTGCTCCGGGGGAGCAGAATGCCAGGGCTGGCGGCTGGGTCTGGGTCTGGTCATTCACAGGCCCTGAGCAGACCGCTGAGGGTTCCCAGAGGGGCATGCCCTGTTCCCATGCTGCCAGCCCCCTAGCAGCTGGCCCTGGGTGGCCGCCTGGCTTTTGGGTGGTTCTTCCCCAGCCTGGAGAGTGGAATCCGCTCTTCTGAGGCTTAGCGACTGATCGTTCAGCGGATACGGCAAACGGAGGGTGGGAGGCTGCTGCTCACGATGTCCGCGTTTCCTCGAGGGGTGGGATCATTGCATCACAGGAAACGTGCTTCTCCGGCTGTAGCCGTCCCTGCGCACTGCTCTGAGCAGCCGGCCGGGCTGGGAGGGGGGAGGCGCACCCTGTCGGCTCATCTTTTTACGCACAACCATCCGTCATGAACTCACTCAGTGAGTAGGTCCTGTTGAACTAGAGACACTGAGAGGAAGCAGCGCCCCCTCTGGCAGTGCTCAGCTCCTGGCAGTGGAGCATGGGCCTGCAACTCCCATGCCCAGTGGGACCATTTGGGGGCAGGGCTCGAGGCTGGTGGCCCGACCCACTCTGTTCCTTCCCAGGGGGTGGGTGGTGCCCCCCCACTGCCCCCCCTTGTGCCTCTTGAAGGTGAGTCGCTAACGGAGGAGCCGAGCTGGGTCCTGTGGCTGCAGCAAACAGGAGGGACTCCAGGTGCTGATTCCTACACTAGAAGGGTGACATTGTTGAAGTTCTGGGTTAAAAGTTCAGCGCTCGTTGTACACTTTTGTAATGAACTTTACATAAAGTCTCTCTTGCAGGAATGAGAAGACAAATATTTAGTCTTGCCCTTAACACAGACCTTCCGTTCCTTCCCAGGATGTGCCACGGTGGTTTGGCATCCAAATTGTGATGTTAGGAACTTGGCCAGTCTCTCCAGTGTGGAGTGCAGAAGGACTTGGGGAGAGGAGAGGACTGCAGCCCAGCAGTCCTTTTGGCTTCCCAAAAGTAGGAGGCGAGGATTTGAGTCCTTTCTGCTTTATTGAGCACTAGCTGCACTTTCTCTGTGTGAAAGAAAACCCAGAGCTGAGCCTTCTGCCACTTGCTGGCTGCGTCCAGACATACTCCACTGAATAACATTCAGCGAACCTTCTCCGCTCACGTCCCATGTACCCATATCCACGAGGCAACTACTCATGAGTAGTCCCCGCGTGCCTCCATCTTCCCACCAACTGGGGGCAGGCATCCCATCAGCCCCATGGCCAGGCCCGGTCCAGCACACGCCAAGCCTGCCTGCCCGCCGGGCCCTGCGCTCCCCATTGGCTGGCCTCTTGGAGAGCCGCCGCTTTGCCCCCTGCTGCCCCACAGGGGCCTTCTCTGTGTGTGGGGACATGGTGGCGGTGCGGCAGCGGCAGGGCGGGCTGGGCGGGGGTGCCTCACATGGCTGCCCCAGCGGTGCTGCTGCTGCTGCTGCTGCTGCTGCTGCTGCTGGAGGCAGCCCCAGCCCACCCTCCCGGCACATGCTCCCCAGGGCCCCCTGCCACGGCCGCTGCCTGGCCGATTGCCCACCTTGTGCACCACCTGCCAGCAGCCCACTGGCTCCCTGCCCCACAGACT